AGGACAATGTACAATCTATACATATATAGGTCAATGTACAATCTATACATATATAGGTCAATGTACAATCTATACATATATAGGTCAATGTACAATCTATACATATATAGGTCAATGTACAATCTATACATATATAGGTCAATGTACAATCTATACATATATAGGTCAATGTACAATCTATACATATATAGGTCAATGTACAATCTATACATATATAGGTCAATGTACAATCTATACATATATAGCTATATCAGTGTCAGCTCCATTACTCTGCACAATTAATATATAGCAAGACTATAAATTTAAAATAAATAAAATGGAAAAAAGGAAAGGGAATTCTTTCCAATTCTGTCCTTGTTGATGGGGCTTTCATCTTGTTTTTCCACTCTTGTGGCTTCTTCAGTTTAGGACAGTCTTCAGTCCCTCCCATGGCTTCTTTGCTTGAAGGGCACCTATTGTGACCCAGGGAAGGGTCATTTTTATTCATTCTCTTGGCTCTTGTCACAACCCTTTTCATTTCCCCTGTAACATTCTGATTGAGTGCTGCCACATTTTCTGTGGCATTTCTTCAAATCCTCCGCCAGACCTCTGCTGCTGTAAGCGTTAAGAGCAACTTCCACTCTGTGTGAGATGCAAGTTCTTAAGGTGCCATTCACTTCTTGCCATTCTCTTGTGATCTCAGGAGGCGTGGGCTGACCAAAGTCATATTATCTTTTATTTTTCTGGAACCACAAGATTGGAATTTCTGAACCACAGCTATGCCCAATAGCTGCACCTCATAAATTCTGAGGATCCTCCTAATAATTTTGTTTCATCTCTTATACTTGAAGGTGATTTAATTTTTCTTCTGTTGAGGGTCTATCAATGGGCATTGTGTAACTTTAAAGGTACAGCAATCTACCACTATTTACATCTCACTTGGATTCTGCCCTAGAAATCTCCAGCTGCGTGTGGTCCAACAGGAGTGTTGTGGAGTGTGTGTGTGTGTGTGTGTGTGTGTGTGTATGTGTGTGTATCAGTGTGTGTGTGAATATATATATATATATATATATATATATATATATATATATATCCATTCTTCTGTCTTGCTTTCTCATGAGCAGCTGGGGTTATTTCGATAATATAATGTTCATGAAAACCTGAGTATCAGCCCAAAGGAGAGATAGTTAGGGCAGAGCAATTGCAGCACTATTTGGAAAACTTGTGGAGACAGAGCCCTGGTGAAATAGGTGAATTAGAACATAAGTTACTTCTTCATCTTTTTATTTTGCATGAGGAGGATAGGCTAGGGGTTGGTACCTACTGAAGCAAACCTATGCATTTGCACCTATCAGGTTCTTTCTGATAAAATAATGTAAAGGCATCTACAAAATGCACTTCTTCTTATTTTCCTTTTACCTTGTAAAATAATTGTAGTAGCTAGGGGGCATGGAGAGCACTGAGGGTCCTGCTTTTTAGCCATTTTCCTCCAGAGCATGAAGTATACCTCTGAGAGCAAACAGTGTTGCAAAGAGAGGTCATTTTCTTTCCAACTGAAAGCTGCAATTTAGGACTAAACTGGGGTTGCTTAAGACATGGAGATAGACAAAATACACAACACAAAACAGCAATTCCTGCAGAAGAACAAAAGAGTAAGCCCAGCAGTTCCTCCGAGTTTCCCAAAGCAAGACTCCCTGGGTCAAATGGCCTTGATGGTACCTGTGTTTGAAACCTGAGAAACCAAATAAAAATGGAAAAAAGGAGAAAACTCTCAAAGTGCTGAGGTAGCTCACACAAGTGGTTCAAATCAAAAGCGCACTGAGGCTTAGAAGTTTCACTGCTCCAAAGGGTTTTGTGCCAAAGGTACATTTTCCCACGGAGAAGAAAATCTTGAGAAATCTCCAGAATGAAGAGCACCCCTGACTTCCTCTGGTGTTTGACTTGGTGTGAATGTCCCAAGCAACCCACCATGATGACTGTACTCCTGACTGGTTCACTGTAGTTTCATACAAAGCCCAAGAGTCGGGTGCCTAATAGGCAGTACAAACTAAAAATGTAGAGAAATAGAAGCTCGGGGAAGTTCGACCAGGAAAGTAACAACTGGGAAGGGTGAGGACAAGACCTCAAATCCCCTCCAGCCATGACTGTGGGTTATATAAGATGAGAGATCACAGGGATAAAACCAGTTTTATCACAAGTTTTACTGGATTCAAGATTTCCAGAATTCTCAACACCAGCGAATATCTGGTATACCATTCAGCACTGCACAGTTCTGAAAACTAAGCTTGTAAATCACATGCGACATGTTTAGTTTATTTTTTGGTTTTATATATATCATACACACATATGCATATATATGTCTATATAAGGAAAATGGTACATATATTATTTTATCTATTAATTTCACTCACAACCACTTTGGTACAAGTCCTTCTTTTCTTGACCACATTGTGAGCAGCAAGTTGACTTTTAAAAATTAACCAAAAGAATTAAAAATAAAAATAATATTGCAACAGTTTCCTGTTTAGAGCATTGCAAGTGGATACTATTGATCAAGCATTGAAATGCTTATACCATCAGCTGCTGTTCCTTTGGCTAGTCACCCTCTTCCAATTTTGAAGGCTTCCTGCTCTCCTTCTAGTTTCCTGGGCTTGTTTTGAACACAGGACCTTTTGTCTTCCTAGCATGCTCGGGGATGGTTTCCTTATTACTTTAGCCAACTCTACACTTACCTGTTATCTCTTCAGAGAGATCTTACTGAGAAGCTTATTGAGAAAACACCTCACATCCCGTCACCTCTCATGATTGGGCTACCTCTGTTGAACATCATATCAAGTACTGATGTATTTTTATCTCCCTCATTATATGTAAGCTCTAGAACCAGTAGTTTGCCCTGTACTTAGAATAATATTTGTAGTGAATACTCAGTAAACATTGGTTAAATTAATTAACTAATCATGAGTCGATTGACTAATACAGAAGCTGTAATACATGTTGTAGAATCTATTTAGTTAATAGACATATAATAGTGTCTTTTAAAATGTTAATTAACTGAAACCTTTTATTCATTATGCAATTTCATATAAAAATTGCAATTTCTGCCTTCTTTAGAAAAATTAAGGAAGTTTTCTATTCGAGGTTCCTTAACAGATAGCACATGATGCTTGTCAGACAGAGACGAACCCAGACCCCACCACTCCTACGACCTCCCTGACACCAATGACTGACTTGCATTGGCTCACCCTTTACTGTGAATGTGCCTGTCCCCATACATTTCCAACCCCCTACATAAAGTACGTATGTAGAAAGTCTCCCAACCTTTGTTCCATGTGTCTGTGTAACTTTTTCAAAACCAGTTTAGAAATCAAACCTGTCTTGTGTTCATTTTTCCCATCTCAGTCTTAATGAGACACACACTGTAGCCTGTGGTGCCCCTGCAGGTTACAGAACAATCAGCCAAGCCTGACAAGCTCGTCAGAGTATCACAATCAGTAAAAGGGCAGAAATAGCCAATGGTGTTTCAGAAAAGATCTCACTTTTGTAAGGTTATTTTTTTTTAAAAAAATAGTTTTTTTTAATTTATTTATTTATTAAGGATTTCTGCCTCGTCCCCACAACCGCTTCCCATTTCCCTCCCCCTCCCCCGATCAAGTCCCCCCCCCCATCTGCTCGAAGAGCAATCAGGGTTCCCTGACCTGTGGGAAGCTGGATCCAGCAATACCACTCTTGGGAATATACCCAAGAGAGGCCCTATCATACAACAAAAGTATATGCTCAACTATGTTCATGGCAGCATTGTTTGTAATAGCCAGAACCTGGAAACAACCTAGATGCCCTTCAACGGAAGAATGGATGAAGAAAGTATGGAATATATACATATTAGAGTATTACTCAGCAGTAAAAAACAAGGACTTCTTGAATTTTGCATACAAAAAAATAGTTTTTAAAACCATTAGATTATAAATATTTTTCTTTACTTTCAAAATATCACGAATATTAGATCCAGATGTCTACCTTAAGAGATTCATTTACCAATATAGGGCACCCAGTGTCTAAGAAGAAAAACGGCTATGTTTAATAGTAGATGTTGAAGCCCAATAAAGGGAAATACACACACACACACACACACACATATATATATATATATATATGGGAAGAGAAAGAACCACAACCTTTTGCTCAGTATCTATGTGTTTTAGCAGCATGAATATTTGCCAAGCTCCTGCAGTATGTCAGACACCATTGGAAGCAATTGAGGAACTCATACTGTCTCACACTCCAGAGAGTCAGACAGCAAAACTAAACAAGTAATAAAATATTTTTTTTATTTGCAGTAAGAGGAAGAGCCTTAATAAAAGGAAACCGGGAGGAGGGTGAAAGAGGAGGTCTGGTCAGTAGCTAGAGTAGCAGTGTGATCTAGGTAGGTCCTATGGGGAGAGGAGATCTGAGCAAGACCTGAAGGAGGTGAGAGAAAGCACACCTCTCTGTTGTGAGAAGACGGTGGGATAGAGAATGGCATAGACCAAATACCCTGCAGTGGGCAGACACCTAGTGTGTTCCGGGAGCCCTGTGGCTCCTCTGGCTGAGTTAGCTAAGAGAACTGACTGCTGATAAGACGAGACCTTGAGTATCTCCAGAGTGCTGCCCACAAGGGCAGTCTAGTCTTCTCCACACAAAACCATTTTCCTTTTTGTTTAGTAAACATATTTTAATATGGTCATGACCTAAGGTTGGAGGCTTTATGAAATATGCAGGTTCTATTTTCTAAAGGAATATTAAGCAACTGGGGTCATGGGCCTAGCTGATGAGACCCTGACAAAACCACCATCCACACACAATGAGCTCACAAACTGGCTGCGCTCGTGTTATCCTGAACATAGTCTCCTGTTTTACATATGGTCACCGGTGCTTTCCAAAGGGCAGTCCTTTGTTCTGCCTGTCAGTCACCTGCACCGAGCGATGAGCTCAGATGCAGCCTAGCGAAAGCCGCACTAACAGAACTTCATGTCTCCTCTACGCAGCTGCTGGTGGTAGATTGGCCATTTGGATCGGAGATGTGTAAGCTCATGCCCTTCATACAGAAGGCTTCTGTGGGGATCACCGTGCTAAGTCTATGCGCTCTGAGTATTGACAGGTAAGAGTCCGTTCTTAGGCCAAGGAGATCCTACACACCGTATAACTGCTGTGTTATGGAGGGGGTAAGCTGCGCAGCTCAATAAAAGCAAGCTCTCTACCTGCTTAAAATATAACTCTGTTTACATCTTCAGATATCGAGCTGTTGCTTCCTGGAGTCGAATTAAAGAAACTGGGGTTCCGAAGTGGACAGCAGTAGAAATTGTTTTAATTTGGGTTGTCTCCGTGGTCCTGGCTGTCCCTGAAGCCATAGGTTTTGATGTGATTAAGACAGACTACAGAGAAAAGCCTCTAAGGGTCTGCCTGCTTCTTCCCGTTCAGAAAACAGCCTTCATGCAGGTAAGTGTTCTTTGCTTTTTCTTCCTGCACTTTCCTTATAAATATTTAACTATTTCCCCTAGTTCCCCACCTTGGTAAGCTATTGATTTATGCCTACCTTTGGCATAAATTAAGAGTTTGGATCCCAAGACTGTGAGGTTAAGCATTACTAGTGACCCCACCTGCAAGAATCAGGGTAATTACCACTCCAGGAATACCCTAGGTAGCAGGGATCCAGATAGATCAGATTCCTACAAGAATGGCTGTGGCTTTATAACATTTGTAACTAAAGTCCCAGAAAGATAGACACTGTTGCATAACCTACAGAAGACAACCCAACGTTGTCAAAGAAACAGATGGTTTAAGCTATGTTTAAATAGAAGATACCTGATAGTATGGATTTAGAATACCAACCAGTCCCTTCATAGCTACATTGTTAATATGTATATTGATTTATAATTGCATATAAAATATATATTATATAATTAATAAATATATGTATAATTTTGGCTATCTGTTAAAGAACTTTTGATCAGAAAATAGGGAAAGAAAGGGGATATTAGTCTCTAAAAGACAGATCCTAAGTACAAGAGTTTTGTCAGTGGGGCAGTGGTGGTGCATACCTTTAATCTGAGCACTCAAAAGGCAGAGATAGGCAGATCTCTGTGAGTTCGAGGCCAGTGTGGAAATTCCAGGACAGGCTCCAAAGCTACAGAGAAACCCAGTCTTGGGGGGAAAAAGGGGGGTTTTCAACAGAAAATGGTTAGTAGGTTAGTACAAAAGGGGTTGAAACATTTTTTTTTATTTTACATGGACAAAGCTTATATAAACTTTATGAACTATGCATTCAGTAATAAGTAAAAGAACAAAGGCAAATGCAGAAGTAAACTGGAAAATGAGGCTGTTGTTTACTAAAAGTGGAGCACAACATCGGGACACAAAATCCTTTCTAGCGTGGATATAGCTGCATTGATAATGTTTTGAAAAAGTAGCAGCAGAAAGAACGCAGGAAAGATAAAGCACACAAGCATTTTCTAAATTGCCATTACATGTATACGCCATAGATCTAAGTGGCTAGGGCAGATCTGTTCACACCCGTTTCTCACACTAAACACGCTTAGTAGCAAGGAAAAGCGTCTCCCAAGCACTGTGATGGGTTTACATGCTTAATACCAATAGTACCTAAAATTTGAGGTATTTGGTCATCCATTGTTTTATCTTCACATAGGAATTATGATTAAATCTTACTATACTGTCCCAAAGAATTGAAATATATCCTGTAATGTCATTTTACTTAGTGCAGGGCTTTATCTATGTGTTTAATAGATATAGCTTAAGAAATGTATGACAGATGTGTTACAAAAATCATCCTACTTTTATGAACTTACGTTGGTTTTAGTTAACATTTGATATATAAGGTTTTTATTTTTTAAAAAATAAGATGTTAATCATAAAAATTCTCTCTTCCCTATAGTTTTACAAGACAGCCAAAGACTGGTGGCTGTTCAGTTTCTACTTCTGCTTGCCACTAGCCATTACAGCCATCTTTTATACCCTGATGACCTGTGAAATGCTGAGAAAGAAGAGTGGCGTGCAGATCGCTTTAAATGACCTCTTAAAGCAGGTAAGAGAACGCAAGGACCTGGTGAGCCGTGGCCGTGATGATGGTGGCATCCTCACAGTGGTGAGGATGGTGATGAACTAAATCAGACACTGGAGCTCTTTCACTTTCTTCCTTCGTTTTGCTATTTTTGTAATAAAAAGGCATTTTGTATTAATTATTCAGAGACTGAGTCTATTACCTAAAAGGATCTAGGGACAACCGTTACCTTTTGCTGTTGTTTTGTTTTAAGACAGAAGGTCAGGTAGCCCAGGCTAGCCTTGAATTCAAGGATGACCTGCAACATCAGATCCTTCTGCTTCTGCCTCCCAAACGATGGGATTACAGACCTGCACTACCTTGTCCAGTCTGAAACATACACACATTCACACACACACACATACACACACACACATACACACACACACCACACACTCACAGACATACACACACACACCTCTCACACACACACTCACACACATACTCATACATATATATATAGCATGTTTGTACAATATATAATTTTAGACTTATTTTGTGTTGGATGAATGTTTTGCCTACACCCATCTGCACCTCATGCCTGGTACCCATAGAGCTCACAAGGGGCATCAAATCCTCTTGGACTGAGGTGATTGATGGTTGAGAGCCACTATATGAGTGCTGCAAATCGAACCTATGCCCTTTGAAAAGCAACTAGTGCTCTGAGCTGCTGAGCCATCTGTCCATCCACCCCCAAACCCTTACTTTTTAAAGATGAATCCCTAACAACTTTAATTCTCATTCACACTGTCTAATTGGATGCTCACTGACCTGAGTCTTTGGTTTGGTAAATACTGTGAGATATCCTGTCTGGGGAGAGTATGTGCTGTGAATACCAATGGCTTTATAAGGGCTTGTGGTCCTATTTCAGAGACGAGAAGTGGCCAAGACAGTCTTCTGCCTGGTTCTCGTGTTTGCCCTCTGCTGGCTTCCCCTTCACCTCAGCAGGATTCTGAAGTTCACTCTTTATGACGAGAATGATCCACACCGATGTGAACTTCTGAGGTAAGAAAGATAGAATACAATGGAACGGGACACATGTGCCATAAAAAGTGGTGACTCTTGGGGAGAAGGGAGGCCAACAAGCATGAGACAGAGGGGAGGGGAGGGTGCTGAGGGAGAGGGGTGAGTAGGAGTCACGTGTGAGGACACGTGTGATCACTCTATGATGGAGCTCACTGATCCGAATGCTAGCTTAAATTTGAAGAGAAGAAGAAAGCGGAAATAATTATGTAATTTCCACTCAGATGTCTCCCCATCAGTCCTCCGAACGAGCAGAAAGAATATGATTTTCGTATCTTTAGAGACCATTAAGACGCACAATTTTACCTTCACCCCTGCTTTAGATGGATGAGTAAAAGGGATGCAAGAAAACCGTAGGCTATAGGCACGGGGTTGTCAAATGATGAGTGAATGGCAAGACAAAAAGTATCAGCTCTATCTATACACCTCTGTATATACTATCAGATCTTCATGATGCCTGCAAACCCTTGCTTTTCCGAAAGTTTCATCTCTTCCAAATGAGAACTGTATTTCCAAAAGGAGAACTGGATATGGAAGTAAAGGTAGGAGAGGGGCCGTGTAGGTGACAGAGAGTGAACGAGAGAGAGAGAAAGGCAGGCAGAGAAGCAAAGACAGCGACCTGCACGAGCAAACTAGTGGTGAAACTCAAACCATTGGGTATGGGGGATTTTGGTTTTCTTCATGAAAACACAAAGGTGTACATTAAATATATACATGAAGAAACATAATTTTTAGAGACACATTTTGGGCTTCTTGCAGCTTTTTGTTGGTTTTGGACTACATTGCTATCAACATGGCTTCTTTGAATTCCTGCATCAATCCAATCGCTCTGTATTTGGTGAGCAAAAGATTCAAAAACTGCTTTAAGGTAAGAGAACAATCTAAAATAAAATGTTTCCTGTGGTCTGGCATCAAATATAGGCTTTCAGAACCACTAATATTTCTATCTAGAGAAGATTGGCAAATTGTTAATTTCCCTGTGTTGCACGATATTTGACATTTTTAAATATCACTTTTGTATAAAAAGCACTATAGTAAATATTTGCTTGCAGATCCTTATCAGTAATCACCCATGCTTTAGCCACTCAACAATACTGTTGGAATTGCTCCAATTGATAGAATCACAAGCACTGATAATGTGTGTCATGCAGGGAAGTAAGATTGGAACGTAGCTGAATGCATTGTCCCTCTGATTTTGGTAGACGTTTTATTATTGTCCAGCTACCATGTCTGTTATAAATAAGTTAATTGTCTTTTCTTATGGGCTATGGAAATAAAGTCAAGGCCTAGAAGATGCCTCAGCAAGTGAGAGTGTTTGCTCTGCAGGAGGGTCCAAGTTTAAGTCTGCAGAACACGTGTGAAAAGTCAGGCATGCTGTTCTGGGCACAGTGGTAGATGCCGTTAATCCCAGCACTTGGAAGGCAGAGGCACGCAGGTCTCTGTGACTTCAAGGCCAACCTGATTTATGTAACAATGCCCTGTCTCAAAACACGAGAGAGAGAGAGAGAGAGAGAGAGAGAGAGAGAGAGAGAGAGAGAACAAATGTAGTTGCCTATAGCTCTAGTACTAGAGATGAATGGAACAAGAGGATGGTTGGAAGGGGCTCTGAAAATACTAACCTAGTTCAGTAGGAGATCATGTCTTAAAAGAACATGGTGGAGGGGGACAGGTTAGGACATTCAGTGGCTTCCTTTGGCACACACATCACAGCCCTCCCCCCCACAGACACACACATGAACAGCAACTTTAAAAAGATTAAAAGCATTTCTACTTTTCTACCTTCTGTAGATAGCAATGATATGTTGCTCCATGTTGAATGTAATTATATCTCACTCAGATGTTGGCAATATGGCACCCATCCATCCATTAATTCTCTCAATAATACAACACCGAGTAAAATATGCTTCTCCTCACATGAGAATGAGCTATTGTCTTTGGTATTTCGTTATTTGAAAACCAAAATTCATTTCATTGTAAACACTAAAAAAGTTAAAAATTTCTTTGTCCAATCACAACCCTGACATTAGGAGTAGAAGAGAACTTTTATCAAAATCAACTCCTTTCTTTACAGAGCACAAAACCTGCTGTTTTCTGAACATATAGTTTATCATAATACAAAAAGGATAGACTCATAGTCTATCATAAAATAAACAGAATGAACAACGTTTTAAAATTTTTAAAACTCCAGTGAAAAGTAGAAAAAAAATGAAATCAAGATGCTTGCACCCTTTATGAATGTATTGCATAATAATACTGAAAGGGCATGGGATAACAGCATGTGTCTTAAAACAGCACGGCAAAATTAAACTCAGGGACATGACGAGAGGCCTGTGTCTGCATCAAGTGACAAAAATCATGTCACAGGGCATGTACACAAGTTACATAAACGTATAAGCCCAAGTACATGTACAGCTGTAGTAGTTCTGTTCTAGGGAGAAACGCTTGACCTTCAAAGTTGTCACACATCAAGAACATTTTTAAGTAAATGAGAAAAAAGTATCAAAAATTAAGAGTGACTCTGGGAGTTAAAGAGATGATTCAGGGGAAAGAGCACTCGCTATGCAGGCTTGAAGATCTGAGTTACACCCACCATGTAAAAAGCCAGGCTTGACTGCCTATGCCGGCCACAACAGCTTTACAGGACGGAAACAGATGCTAGAGACAGCCTGAGCAGTCAGCTGGGCAGAGGCAGTGAGCTTCAGGTCCAGTGAGAGATCTTATCTCAAGGGCATAAGGGAGAGCACAATAGAGAAAACAGCAGAAACATCCTCCTCCGGCCTCTAGCTCAGTGTGCATGCATTAGTATGTACACACTCATACATACACACTCACACACACACACTAAAAAAAAAATGAGTGGATGTTTCTTGGTTAATGTTAATTACATAAGTTTTTTTCTTCTTATTTGTACTTTTTAGTTGTAAAAAAAATCATCACATGCCACCAAGGTAGCCATCTTTTCCATTTTTAAAATTGTATTTATTATTATTGTGTGAATGCAATGTGTGTATGAATGAGCATAGGTGTGTGCATACCATGGTGGACAAGTTCTGCAGTGTGTGTGTGTGTGTGTGTGTGTGTGTGCGCGCACACATGTCTGTTCTCTTTCCACCATGAGCTCTGCCTCTCACGCTCAGTTCATCAGGATTGTAAGTAGTAAATGATTTCACTCACAGAGTCATCTTGCTGACTTTAACTGCATCAATTTTAAGGGGGAAATGAGAGGGTGTGGGAAGAAAGGGACCAAGAACCCCACACTTGCAAGAAGAGTCAGAGCCCCAAGAGCGGGAAGAGTAGTGACCGTGTGACTGAGTAAACACATAACCAGTTGTTCTGTTTTGTACAGTCCTGCTTGTGCTGCTGGTGCCAAACGTTTGAGGAAAAACAGTCCTTGGAGGAAAAGCAGTCCTGCTTGAAGTTCAAAGCTAATGATCACGGATATGACAACTTCCGTTCCAGCAATAAATACAGCTCCTCTTGAAGGGAAGAGTATTCATTCGCTCAGTCTCATCATCCTTGTTTTGGACAGATATCATTAGAGAGAAAAAACAAAAAAACAAAACCTTTGCCAAATCCAATGGAAAACTGTGTTTGCAGGAAGGCTTCCACAAATATAAGGGGGATTATTTTTAACAGCTGTAACTTTTAACACCTGGTGTTCCATGAGCTGTTCACAGCCTAGGAAAGCGATGAAATGGACAAGCACTTAGATTTTTAGCCAGCACTTCGACATGGCTCTTGAAAGCTCCCAGTGTATTCGAATGCCACTTACATTTAAAAACAAGCTCACTTAGAACCTCTGTTTATCATCCTGTCACATGAATCTGAGAAAAGGAAAGTGTGACATCGGTAAAAAAAAAAAAATAAAAAAAATAATGTTTCAAATATGGTTTCAGCTACTCCATTTGAAACCTTTTTAAAACATCCGTTAATAAATGTTTTGTGCATGATGTCAACACCATTTAAATTGCAATTGTATGGGAAATGCAAAATCAGTGTGCTTCGTGTGCGCTTCAGGTAATTGCAAACACCTAAATGATCAGAAGGGGGTATAAGAAAGAGATGGAGCCTAGATGTTTCAGGATCATTGTATTCTTTACATTCCAATAAGAGCAATGTCACAGAGGAAATAAAAGGGGGGGAAGCGAGAGCTGCTCTCACTGAGACTTCCGAACTTCCCCCTCACAGGCATGAAAGGAAACCGCCAAACAGAACACTACCTACAATTTTTCATGGTTCTTTCAAATATCTTTCTACAACCGAAGTTTGATTTCCATATGATTAGTTTCATCACCTGTAAATACTTAGCTATAAGCACTCCATGTAGATGATTTAACAAAGGGCAGGTCCCAGCATTTGTATCTTTATGACAAAGGGATGCCAGGAACCCGGTAGGCGACAGAATGTGAATTGCCTGGTGCATCGTCCACATGGCAAAGAAGCAAGGCGCATCTCCAGCCGCGCTGTGGTTAACACGGTCCACAGCACGATATAGTTAAAATACCATGTCTTAAAGTCGTAGCAACTAGTTACTCTAACCAGCTCTCTTGGAGCTATTTTGCTAATTTTTATATTTTTTTTTCTGGAAATAGCCAATAGAAAGTTGATCCGGACATGGTGCTTTTTCTAAAACTTAGAGGCGAAAGCACTTTGGGGGACTGCAAAACGCTCCACACTGTACATTCTTAATCGAAGTGTGGTAGGTTCACTTCGGATGAGCAGTGTGTGAAGAATGCCCAAGAGAACTCCAAGAGAGAGGAAACGAGGTGGGGTAGGAGGAAACCCGTGGGGAAAGGGTCCCATTCTTAGCCCAGCGTTCGTCACTGGCGCGTCAGAGCAGAGCAAAGGTCCTGGGTCGGCTTCAACAGAACACAACAGAGCGTTCTCAGAGTGACCAGGGAACAAATCGAGCCCAAGAGTTTTAACTTTGTCTTAAAATATAACAGAATTTCCTTTTTTTCCCCCCTTTTAGTAACCCAGGCCACATGTTGAAAATGAGCTAAGAATGTAGTTTTCTGCCAAAATCCACTGTGACAATACAATAAACCCGAATCCAACAAAGAGGTCAGAAAGAAAGGAAAATAATGACCTGGCATGCCACAGGGACTCTATTTAAGAGTCACCCAGTTCTTGTTTACGGGTTCCTCCCCACCATTTTCTACTTCTCAATATAAAAGACCCCCCAGATTTTCAATTTTCAATTAGTTATGAGTCTCCAGTACTTTCACAATATGAATGTATTTTTAATTCTTATTAAGTTTTAGATCAATTTTATTGCTATATAGTAAGTTCTTGCATCTTAATGTTCTCTTTTTTAACCCAAATGCTCTTTCCCTCTAAATATCAGACTCATGAGCAATAATCATCTTGTCAAATTATGAAATGGCATAAGAATATGATGCATACAGTATTTGTAAAAAGAAAAAGCATTCAGTAGATTTTTGATTCAAAAACAAATATAATCTCTGCATAATTAAAAATCAAGATAAGAAAACATATCACCATCCAACTTTAAAGCCTATTTTCTAATATTAAAGCTGCCTAACATAGCAACACTTAAAAACAATGCTAACGAGGATGCTCTAGGTTAAAAGTTTTGGAAGTGATTTTAATCTGTTTTTGCCTCTTACTCGGATCATGTTGGTCTGTGTTCAAACACCTTCCAGTATCAACAATGTACAACCGCCAAAGGAACACTGTTATTGTTGTTGTTTTTTTTTTAATCAAAACTTGGGTTTGTTGTGTCTAACATACAATTGTAATATAGCCATGTAAAATAATTGTGCTTTGTTCTGCCATGGTCACTTAAAGTGGCAGCTCATGTAGTTGCTTACTTTTTGTTTTGTGAACAAACCAATAAATATTCAAATCATTTCAAAGAGCAGCTTAATCTTTTACCATGTGGACATCCATCAATTTGTACTACCTAAAGGGTTAAAGCGGAGGAAAGATGCTATAAGTGAACATTATCTATGTTAAATATATCATTATCAAGGAATGAAAGTTCAATTAAATTGCCACGATTCTGAAGTTTGTCATGCTTCGTTGTCCATGTATAGTCATTTTCCACAACCGATTAACATCTTGACAATCACTGGAAGTCTTCGCCTCTCTATCTGCATAGCTTCCTTTGGAGGCTTCTCATCGTTGAGTCTCGCCGTGCTACCTGAAGGATGAAATGAGACTTGGGCATCGCTCATTGCATTTCTCAAGCAACCTTTTCGTGTTGACTAGGAGCATGGTAGAATAGACGTTATTATAGGCTGGGTGCCCTCAGCAGAAAATCTGAAGTCTGAAATACTCCAAAATCCCAAACTTTTTGAAAGTGGAAAATTCCACCTTTGATCTCCTGCTATATAATACAGTCTCTGTGCAAATAAAACTAAAAATATTAAATAAAATGAGCGAAATGCAAAACAGATCATTGCCAATCCAAAGGACCAGATCCTAGCATCTCAAACTGCCGTGTGTAGCTGGTGAGTGCTACACACTCTTCAAAAGGACAGGTGGCTTATTTTTCTAAAGACTGTGCCGAATTATAGGGAGAATTGTAGGCATGGTCACAGCATGAAGGCAGGATTCATTCTTTTCCTGGAGTTGAGGGTTGAGGAAATCTTTACTCCATCAATAGAAAGATTTTCAGTCCCTAATCTTTCTAGAGGTAAGTAGGAGCCATGAGTATCATGGGCAGGAGGATGAGGTCTCTACTTGAAGAAAATAGCAAATCTGCAGAGGAGAACCCTTCAGGTCCAAATACAGAGAGTCAGGAGGGCTCTCCTAGAAAGGGGTTCTGTGCCTTCTCCATTATGTGTGCATCCATAGAATTTTTAAGCTGACTCTTGGTGCCACCTTTTAAAGTATGAATGAGTGTCAGAAGCCCATAGGCATTTGGGGACACTTTGCAGTGAAAGACAGAACTATCAACTAATAGGGAAATACAGTGTGAGGAGACTGGGGGAGCAAAGAAAAAAGTCAGCACAATTAGACTTAATTTCCCCACAGTAATAAGACTAAGAAAGCAAAACAAAGTAATGATCCAAAGAACACTTAGGGATCCAGATACTGCTCTTGAAGACTGAAAAAGATGCTCAAAGGGATAAAAGACAAAAGTAAAGGCCTCCAACCACCAAAACTGACAACAAGCAGAATGCAAAGGAATCTATCAAACTGTGTCACTAAGTTGGGGTCAGGAAGGAAACCAAAAAGACCAGGAAACAGGTGAGTCCAACACAGGAAACTCGGTGACTGATGTCAGCATGGTGAAGTTGCAAAAGCTTCACTTGTCTTAGAAACAGTTCATCCAGTAAAAGCAGAAGAGTGGGCAAAGGGTAACTGCAAGAGAGAGAAGTATTAAAAATGGAAAGATTGTCTGGTGTATTAATGACGGTCACAGGAGTTTATAGCTATATGACAGTGCCTGGCAATAAAGGACAGTGGTCTCAAGAAAACACTGATATCAGATGGTGGGGAAGAGCTGGAGAGATGACTAAGCAGAGAAGAGCAAAGGTTGTTTTTGCAGAGGACCTTGGTTCAGTTTCTAGCACCCATACTGTGTCTCATAACCATCTTAAACCTCCAGTTTCAAAGGACCCATCTGATGTCATCATTTGACCTCCATAGGCAACAGGCATACCTGTGGTGCACAGACATAATACAGCAAGACACCTACACTTATAAAAAATTAAAATTAAAAATAACAATAAATCTTTAAAAACTGGTTTAAAAAAGACAACTGCTATTCTCCTTATAACGTCTTCGTTGTCTATAAAAAATAGATATCCGTAGTTTTGTGGCTTGGATAAAAAAAAATTACCTTGTAAAAATGGCACTGTTCTAATAGAATCTGTTATATAAATAAATTTAAAATTATTTTGACAGTAATGGGATAGGAAATGCATTCTTAATGTGCTTCACTAAGAAAAATCATACATTCATTTTGAGAAGCACTTAGGAGTTAATATAGGAAAGAAATATTTATCGTAGAACCAGAAATTTCCACTTACAGAGAATTTCTCGTGGGATCATAAAACAAACTCCGGAATGTTCACAGGGAGAACTGTTTATTTCCATCCCCGAAGGGAAACAACTCAAACTCCAATGGCATATTTTCAATTACTAGACCGTATGGTATGCCCATAAAATGGGAAATAGAATATTCTTCCCCAAGTTGATAAGCTTATCATGATTAAAATTTTGATCCAGCAGATTGTCATGAGTGCTTCCCTGTACAGGTAAGATGTTTGGGAACCTACTTGGCCTCTATCCACTGAACATCAATGGCATTTTCTCCAGTTGTGAGACTCAATGCAGTTCCCAGCATCACCAAATGTCTCTTGGGGGTGGGTGATCAACCCTGCTGTAAACTACTGTGTAACAGTATAATTCTGCCGATGCCAAGTTCGAAGTCTGGCACTGTGAAGCTATATGCACAGAGACACATACAGCATCAGTAAAAGTTTAAGGAAGTTATAATAGAAATAAGAACAGCTGCCATTCTTGGAAGACTGGTGACAACTGAGACTTGGAAAAGATACATCAGGATCGTCTGTCCTTTGATATGTATTTATAGAGGTTACTTACAAATTTACATTATTATTTTGCATATATCATGCGACACATTTATATAATAAACTTCTACTTAGTTCCCTTAAATAAAAAGACTTATGCCCTCTTCTATATAAACTACAATTTTAAAAGCAAAGGAAACAGAATGTATATGGCTACAACTAACTGAAAAATTAGGGAGCAGCATTCAGTGCTGCTACAGCACGTTCAGAGATGTGAAGAGGGAAGGATGGGAAGCTAGGGCTGATGTGGGAAAAATTATCAATAGGCAACACCAACCCAGAATTCTGGGTGTATCCTTCCACTTCCCAGGCTGCTAAAATCTAAGCAGCATAAGAATGGAGTGGTGATGGGAAGCGGACTCAGCCCTTCTATCTTACATGCAAATATAAGCAAAAGTGTTCTGTCTTACTCAGTCCTGCAGCCATTCAGTTAAAAAAACACATAGAAACTCATATTAATTATAAACTGTTTGGCCTATTGGCAAAGGCTTCTTATTAACTAGCTTTACAACTTAAGGGAACCCATAATTCTTATCTATGTTTAGCAATGTGGCTCGGTACCTTGGCTAAGTGAGGCATTCTCGTCTTGCTTTCACTGCATCTGGCTGGTGACTCCGTTCCAGATTCCCAGAATTCTCTTAGTCTGATTGTACCACTTACACTTCTTGCCTGGCTGCTGACCAATCAGAGTTTTATTAAACTAATACAAGTAACAAATCTTTACAGGGTACAAGAACATTCTCCCACAGCATTCAAACATGAGTAAGCTGACCTCATGCTTAAAGATGACCTGCTTACAGGTCTGCATAGAATCATGTCATTCAAGCTGGGACAATTGAAAGGTGAGCAATAAAATAAAATTTTCTAGCCATCTATCCCCCTTTACTCCACCCTAACACATGCACACATAAAAAAAAAGTCACATCTACACACCCAGGTGGGCACACACATGGAAACAGACACCACACCTCCGGCTTCAAAAGACATGTTTTCGACTCCACTAGACAAGAAAATTGTTTTCAGACAGGGTGCGGCAGTTTTCTGAAGTTAATCCATATCTTGGAAGTCCAGTAAAGCCCCTAACATACGGCTCGCAAGATATTTCTTCTTTACTTTCACTGGAGCCAAAATCTTTCTTTTCTAAGTAACTTGGGAAAGTTAAGATTTATAGTTGCATAAAAATATGCTTTCCTATGCGTCAGGCATATGCTTTTAATCCCAGAACTCAGGAAGTAGAAGCAGGCGGATCTCTGTGAGTTTGAGGCCAGCCTGACTAAAACATGAATTCCAGGACAGCCAGGGCTGTTACACAGAGAAGCCTTGTCTCATAAGGGGGGGGGGGGGGAATCTAAGCGACCTCTCACTAATCTGGATTTACTTTATTTGTAATTCTTGGTCTATTTATTTATTTATTCATTTGTGTTTGTATTATTGTTTTATTTGTACAATATTATTTCTATACAAGATCCCACTATGCAGCCTTGTGTGCACAAGATTGGCCTTGAACTTGCAGCAATCCTCCTATTCAGCCTCAGGGCTGGGATTATAGTTGCCAAATTACCATACTTTGATTAATATACAAATAAATGGGTCCTGTGGTGATGATCCCTTTCTCCTTCTCTCATTTAATACTTCCCTCTTCTGTTTTTATCACACACACACACACACACACACACACACACACACTAACTGACCCGGGCTCTTTGAAAGGTATGACATTACAAAAACACTGGAACCAAAGTCAGTTGTCCTAGAAATCTCAAACACTACTATCAACATGGCTGCCTAAACATGATCTGAACAAGGATGGCACCGACAGACATGCTAACATAGAAAGTTGAGAACTCATGAAGACTCAATATTAAATGTCAAACTACAGGCAGCTAAGGAATGCTGAGAAGGGGAGGAGTGGCCTTCCCCAGGAAAGGGTACACCAACTGTTTATCCAATACCCAATGCCCAATGATACATCCAACATCCAATCAAGATCCAATGATCAGCCCTGAAAACATACACACAAGTAGTTTCATAAAAGGTTGCATGCATATATAAAATATTGGTAAGTATTTCTGTTCTTTATTAACCCATGAGAAACTAATGCATACTGTAATAAAAAATCTGTACCTAAATCTTCATGGCAATGAAAACTCAAGTTCCCAGGGGGGAAATAAGCCACCATTCCATTAGGAACTCTGTACCTTGGACTATCATCAGTCATTATTGGACACACACACACACACACACACACACACACACACACACTATGTTGATGAGACAGAGCCCTGGCTTGCCTGGAAGCCTGGAAA